GCTCTGGCTCCTGCCCCGGCCCCGGCTGCGGCTCCGACTCCCGGGCTCGGATCTCCGGCTCCGCGGACCGCGCGGCGCAGGGCAGGAGGCTCAGCACCCGGGGCTCGGGGCGCACCGGACCAGCTCGCTCGGCGCCGGGGGTGAAACTTTGCCCAAGTTTGGGTTCTGGGGAGAACCTGTTGAAGCTGTAGTAACCTAGGACGAGAAAGGAGAAGGGGGACGGCACCTGCGTCGGGTTCTCAGTGAGGTCCGTCGGGAAGGGGTTGTCTCTCCGACACCGGGCCAGACTAGCGCCGCTTGGGGAAGGGGTTGGTTGGCAGACATCCGGGCCACTGCGCAGAAGGAGCCAGGGACCGGGCTAGGAGTGGTTCCGCGGACTCCTGAGAGGACAAAGTTTGGTTCTTTGGCGTTTTGGTTGAATGTCTCGGTCCAATACAGCTGAAGGCGGCTTCAGGGTCCGCATGGACGCTCCATTGACCGCGGCGTTCACCCGTCTCTCTTCCCCCACCCCCACCTGGCTTTAGCTGGTCTCGGACAAGAAAGGAGGACGAGAAACAGCTTTTCAGTGACAGCCTACCTACGTGCCAGGCCCCGTGCCCAGTAGCCTCCGTTTATATCCGGAGTCTCCCCACCCTGCAGAGGGCCCCCGAGCTGGGAGAGGACAGGCGGGTTCAAGACTGTGCCTGCGGGAGTGGTGGCCACACTGCACCTTCCCCCCATCACTGCAGGAGCAAGGGAGGGAGCCCAGGCCCCAGGCCCACGGGTGGGGACTCCGGGTGGCCTCCAGCCTCTGGATTGAGGCTCGGCCCCTCCTCGCTAAGCTTGTGGGCCCCGTCGGGCTGCAGTGTGTCTCTGAACCGGCCTCTGCTCTTCCTGCAGCTGAGTCCCGGGGGCCATGCAGAGGCCGGGGAAGAGACCAGCAGCCTGGCGAACGCCCTAGAGCAGGCGGCCAAGGTGTGCACTGCGTTGGCTTCGGCGCCATGGAGGCCCCGTATTCGATGACAGCTCACTATGACGAGTTCCAGGAGGTCAAGTACATGAGCCGGTGTGGAGCGGGGGGCATGCGCGGGACCTCACTGCCCCCTGGTTTCCCGCTGGGTGCGGCGCGCAGCACCACCGGGGTCCGGGCCGGGCTGCCGCGCTGGAACCGGCGCGAGGTGTGTCTGCTGTCTGGGTTGGTGTTCGCCGCCGGCCTCTGCGCCATCCTGGCCGCGATGCTGGCCCTCAAGTACCTGGGCCCGGGCGCAGCGGGCGGTGGCGCCTGTCCCGAGGGCTGCCCGGAACGCAAGGCCTTCGCGCGCGCCGCCCGTTTCCTGGCCGCCAACCTGGACGCCAGCATCGACCCGTGCCAGGACTTCTACTCGTTCGCGTGCGGCGGGCGGCTGGGGGGGCCCCCCCCC